CTGGAAAGTCTGAGAATAATGGAGAAAAGAGAAAAAACAATAAATAAAAAGGAAGATACCGATGACATTGCCGCGGCTTATATTTTATGTTTGCAAAATTAATTTAAAAGTTTTCAGTCTTGACTAAATTACCACACAAGATGGTATTGGATATTTAGCAATTAAGATTTAGAAATGTTTAAGTGTTAATACTGTGAGTATTGTCTTGCATCAAGTTAGAATTGTTTGTTTACATATGTTATTGTCATCCAACTATGTTTATATGTGAATACGTACATGTATGTATGTACTTGTTTGTGTTTCGCTGTTTTTAATGTTCTTTTTTTATATTTTGTATTTATTGCTGTAACAGACAAAAATAAACAAACGCGCCCCTGATGATGCTAATAAGTTTAGCGAAACGTTGGGCTGTAATAGTGGAATAAACTTGTTTTATTTGCACTAAAGATAATTAGATCGGACTAGCCTATCAAGAAAATTAATAAAATTAATTTAAAGGCGAGTGACACAAAAACACACGGTTCCGGAGATTTGGCCATATATAAATATACTAGCTTATACCAGCAGATTTCAGACCAAGTTTTTATACAAATATGCAAAATAATTTAATGATGTTATATTTTATTTCTGTGCCCATTTTGTTATAGCTCTATATTTTTTAAGCGAGTTAAAGTTAAGGTAAGACTGTTTAAAACTATGAAATTATAAAATCTCGTCTGCACGCTATGCATAGGAAATATATCAATCCCTCTATGTTTACCTTAGAATGGTTCCAGGGATCAGTGTTGCCGTTTTGATCCATATACTTCAAAAGTGATACGCGTTTTCGAAAGATATTTTATTTTTCCGCTCATTACGCGAGATACTTATATTACATTTACATTGAGCCCAAATGCGTCATTTGGGCGAGAAATCTGAAATGCGAACTCAAATCAGGCATTTCTCCATACAAATTCGCATTTCCAAAATTCGCATTTCACCGCATTTAATAAAAATGACGAAGCAAATGCGTTCCAATT